GGGTCTCGAACTCGTGGGCTCAGGCAGTCCACTCACCTCAGCCTCCCAAAGGCGCGGGATTACAGGCTGAGCCACCGAGCCCGGCTTCCCCTTAGCCTTTCAAGTAGCCAAAACCATAGGTGTGTTGCTACCATGCCTGGATAATTTTTGATTTATTGTAGAGAGGTGGTCTAGCCAAGTTGCCCTGGCTAATCTCGAACCCACGGGCTAAGGCAGTCAGTCCACTCGCCTTGACCTCCAGCCGAGCCACCGAGCCCGGCCTTCTCCTAATAATTTTAGTAAGAGAAAACTGGCTAATATAAATGTCCTGTGTTTCAAGTTTTGTAGAAGAAACCTGCCTTCAATCTTTTTACTTAGAGAGAATAACTATAAATTTCTATTCATTTGATTTTACTTTTAATACTCTTTATTATAGGGCACCCACCTATTAGGTAGGTGAGTTTTATTATTCTTATTTATAGATAATGAATTTGAGGCTCATGGGGTAACTTGTTGGTATCAGTAAGTGTCTGCCAGGTATCTGGACATTTCTGTAGGACTCTAGTGCCACACTTTTTCTGCTACATCCTTCTCTGTCAAGCCTGTCTTTTTCTTTACATAACTCTTGTACAATTTACTGCTTACAAAAGGGAAAAATGCATTTTTAAAATGTAAGTTCTGATATTCTTTAAGTGTTTCCTCATGGTCTTCATTTGTTTAATAGTTGCGTTATTATTTCATCATATTGATAACATCATAGTCCCTGTAATCATTTTCCTGTTCCTTGACATTTGGGTTTCTTTCAGTTCTCACACTTAGAAAGGAGTATTGACATATACTTTTGTCCTGTTCTTAATGTTCAAGACTCTGTTATAAATATATATTCGTATATAAATGAGGAGAACTAATATGCATTCAAAAAATTTGCTTTCTAAATTTTCTGATGAGATCAGCACCATAAACCATTGGGGATATTATTAAAGTTGGATGGTCTGATGCGATCTGATTGCAGTGAGGTTTTAAAGTTATGATGTCATAAAGACTATTGACTAATCAATTAAATATAATCACTTTGATGTATTTCAATTTTTTTTTTTTTTTTTGAGTTGAAGTCTCACTCTGTTGCCCAGGCTGGAGTGCAGTGGCATGCTCATGGCCACCCCACCGTCGAATTTTTGCTGGGCTCTGGTGATTCTTTCACCTCAGCCATGCAAGTAGCTGGAACTACAGGAGTACGCTACCATGCCTGGCTTTTTTTATTTTTTTAATTGTAGAGACGAGAACTTGCCAAGCTGCCCAGGCTAGTCTCGAACCCATGGACTCAGGCAATCCCGTCTGAGCCACTGATCCTGGCCGTATTTGATTTTTTAAATGAAATACATCTCATTTTTCATTTATGCTATGTATGTTATGTCAGGCTAATAAGTATAAAGTTATGTACAAACTTTTCATGTCTCCACTGAGTGTTCTAGAACTTTAGCCTAAACACTTTGGATTTTAAAAAGTTAAAAGATCAACCTGCTATAATTAACACACTACTTGTTTTTTCAGGCATGTGGGCACATTCCATGACGGCACAGGATTATCAAGATCTTATAGACCGAGGATGGCGAAGGTGAACTGTTTAATACATATGGTTCCTGCTATTACTCAGGTTCTTCTTATCATTGAAAAATAGCGCATGCCTTTAAAATGTTTTCCTGCTGCTGGGAAGATGTGTAAGAAAATTTTTATTGTGTTCTTTTGTGTAAGCATTTTGTTTCTCTTTCAAAAAATATGTTTATTAGGAAAATTTCAAATATTCACAAAAGTGGAAAATGCATTATAATGATCTTCATATACTTAACACAAAGCTTCAACAGTTTCTAACATTCTGCTACTCTTGTTTGATGGATTGTCCTTGCTCTTCCTCTCCACTCCTAAAATACTTCATAGCAAATTCCATCTGTAAGTTATTATTACAGTTATTATATTAATAGATCCGTAATCAGTATGCATCTCTAAGAGAGAAGTGTTCCTGTTTCCTCTTTGACATTTCTATAATATCATTATCATACCTTACAAAATCAATAATTCTTTGATGTTACTTGTTACCTACTTTTGATTAGGTTTTTTTAGATTGTCTCAAAGACTTTTTTTTAACAGTTGGTTTATTTGAAACAGGAATCCGTTAAGGTCTTCACATTGCCTTTGTTAGGTAGTTATTTTTATGTAGATAATTTTAAAGTAAATCTTAGGTAAATTTCCTTATGTGAATATAGATAATGTTAAATACTCTGTCAGTACTCTCCAAAAGACGAGATTGTGAGCACCAGCTGAAGCATCATAACCCTCCTTAAACTTTATGAGACTCAAAAGGTAGACATAGGTCAGATGATGGAGGACTTGCCTGCTGTGATAAGGAATTTTTTTTTTTTAAGACCAAAAAGAGCCATTGAGAGCGTTTTATGTAAGAGAGAAGTGTGATGAAATTTGTTTTGGAAGAGATCATTCAGATGGCAGAGGGGTATTTAAAGGAGTGGTCAGGGAGACCAGAAGATGAATTCCATAGGTTATTGAACTATCCAAATGTGAGATGATTAGGACTGGTGTCTTAGTGGCAATGGTGACAGAGTGGAGGGGATAAACTTAAGATATGTTTTAGAGGTGAAAAACTGACTGACTGGTTATAGAGGTGAATTAGAGGGAGGAGTCTAAAATGATTCCCAGGTTTCTGGGAGTGAATGAATGGTTCTATTATTACCATAGATCAGGAATGCATGGAAAGCATTGGATTAGTTTTGGGGTACTTTGTATTGGTGAGTATGGAATATCCAAATGTGGATGTCAGAGGCAGTGGCATACATGGGCATCATGGACAGTTTTCTCTCATTGTCTTTGTGATATTCAGGACCGGTAGCAGGTGAAGAAAGGGAAGGGATCACAGATGCTGGTGAGAGTAAGAGGGTAATTTAGATGATTAGTCTGGGAGTACATAAGTAAAGCTTTAGGAAATAAAAGACTGGGTTCTAGTCCTTAGTACAGTTACTTTGAAAATTATTTAGCTTATGAAGAGTAGTTAAAACTGAATGCATTTTACACCATTGATGAGATTTTTTTACCCTTATTTAATGTAGTGTTCCTGTACTAATCTATTTTGGTGCTTGTGAAAAATATATAAAAAACTAATAAGCTATATTTATAATTTTAGAAGTGGAAAATATGTGTACAAACCTGTCATGAATCAAACCTGTTGCCCTCAGTACACAATAAGGTAAGAATTTTAATTAGTGGAAAGAAGATCTATAATATGAAAATTGTGTGTAATTTTTAAGTAATCTCTTGAGCTTTTTAAATTTAATGTTTGTTTAATGTTAATTTCCACCCTAGGTAGACTAATTCCTTGTAATTAAGGAATAAATGTTTAAAACTATAATGTTTATGAGGAAAAGCAAATGAGTTATTTTTTTTCTACCCACTGATGCTGTGTATATGTACTGATCAATAGTTTTAGTAATATTATTTAATTGGTTCAGATATAAATATAGCAGTCTCATCATTGAAAGCCATGAAATATTGGGAAAATATTGATAAATATTCAAATTACTTTCTTTAGATGTTAAATGTTTATAGGACTTAGCTTAGGACTTTTTGTGTTCTGATGTATCACTGACATAACACTTGTAATTCAAACAATACTACAGGCTCCTGTAAATTACTTGGTAGGAAGAGGGCTTAATCTACCACCTACATTCAGAATCCAGTTTTCTTAAATAAAAAATTTAAACTAAAAAGCCAAAAAGTCTCTTTTGCTACAAAGTGTTTTTGGATTTCTCATAACATTATGGGTTTTCCACATATCCTCTCATTTCACTCTAACATGGAAGATTTTACTCCTCTTTTCTGATTATAAAGGTCATCTTTTTCTTCTTTTTTGATAGAAAATTTGGAAAGTGCAGTAACATTTTGAAATATATATTTGTATATATGGCGTATATATACTCTAGGTAGAAAAAAATCAAACAGTTTTGTCCATCACTCTTTTGTCTGGTCCTCACAGCTGTCTGCCTTAGTTGCTCTTAACATTTTTTGTTTGTATTGCAGACCATGTTTAGAATCTGATGAAAGCTGTAGTCTCTTTCTGATCCTTCTCCCTGCTCAAAGGCATATAGACACAAATATATAACATTTTGCATGTTAGTTTTACGATAATCACATACTCCAAAAGGTTCACTGATCCCTGATTAGAACCCTTTTATACCTGGATTGGCAGATGACAAGGAAAAAATGTGAGTGTCTGGTTCCCGACATCATCTAATTACGTGAAAGCTGGAATGACAGAATAGCTTGTGCTGTTCTCTTTCAACTTGTGCTCTTCTCTTCAGATGTGAAGAGAAGACATCTTCTAAGGCAGACGTCATTTTTCTTCACATAGTAATTTATTTGATTAAATAAAATTTATTTATTAGGATTATATTAATAAATATGAAGTTGGTTGACTTGAACTCTGTGATTTTTTTTTTTTTTTTTTTTTGAGTTGAAGTCTCACTCCGTTGCCCAGACTGGAGTACAGTGACACGCGTCCGGCCTCCGCAGCCTTGGCCTGCTGGGCTCCGGCGATCCTTCTGCCTTAGCCTTCCGAGTAGCTGGAACTACAGGCGTGCGCTACCACGCCTGGCTAATTTTTTGATTTATTGTAGAGATGAGGTCTAGCCAGGTTGTCTAGGCAGGTCACGAACCCTCAGGCTCAAGCAGTCTACTCACCTCAGCCTCCCAAGGCGCGGGATTACAGGCTGAGCCACTGAGCCCGGCTTCTGCGATTCTTTATGATCAGAAAAGGTTGATTTCAGTTGGTTAAACAAAAAGATAAAGCATGGAAAATATATTTTGTACCTGTTATATGCAAATTTGTATTCTAGATATATTGCCTTTATAAAAAGATTCAATTAACATTGTAAAACAAGGTAGCTATAAAATATGATTTTTATACTTAACATGGAATCAAACATTTCCCGAACTGCTATTCTTTTTTTTTTTTTTGAGTTAAGAGTCTCACTCCTTCGCCCAGCCTGAAGTGCAGTGGCACGCATGCTCACGGCCACTCCATTGTCGACCTGCTCTGGCTATCCTGCCTCAGCCTTCCGAGTAGCCGGAACTACAGACGTGTGCTACCACACCCAGCTACTTTTTGTTTTTTATTGTAGAGACAAGGTCTCACCAAGTTACCCAGCCTGCTCTTGAACCCACAGGCTCAGGCAACCCACTCGCCTTGGCCTCCCAAAGTGTTGGGATTACAGGCTGAGCCACCGAGCCCGGCCTGAATTGTTATTCTTTGCATAATTTCATTAAATATCTTGATCTTATGGCACATTTTCCAAGTTTACTCTTCTGGTTATTTTACTTTGTGTACTACAGTAGTTACAGTGAGAACTTATATAAAGGCAAGGATAACCTACAGCTTAGCCTGTAGCTTAGCTTCTTGTTAGGCAGAAGTTAGGGGCTGCCCAAGAATTGAGTATAAATGGGGACAAACTTCTCTGACTGTGAATTTTTTTTCTTTTAGTTTTTGCTTTTATCAGAATATACATGCTTGTAATTTAAGGTGTCAAATAGTTCTGTAAAGCTAATTTTGGAAAACATCAATCCCTGTACCACCGTTTTCCTATTTCCTGCTTCCCACTAGCAGTCAGTCACCTTGAAGTGTTTTAACTGATTCTTCTGGATTTTTATCTCCCTGTATTTAAGTAACATGCTTATATAATTGTAATACTTGATTTTTTTTCTGTTTTCTCCATTAACCCTGGGTTTCTCTCTATGAAAGACAAGGATTTATTTTCTTCATCCCTGTTTCCCTGCCATATTCAAGCTCCTTTTTGTCCTCATCCCCAACTTCCCATTAGAAGCATTAAGATTTTGGGTCAATGTAGTCACATCGTTATGACTGTGTAAATATGCTTCACAACTGAGCCATGTAGTATACTATGATTGCTTTTCCTTTTCTGCATACTTTTCTGCATTTCCTGGAGTTACTAATTATCTTTTTTGTTTGCATAGTCTATATGACGACCAGTTTATTTTGAAAATGAATCCCAATTCTGTAAGTTTTTTCTTACTATGTTTAGATGCCTCAAGTATTCTAATACTACTTTTATCTTCTTGATGAAAGTCTTTCGTGGAGCCTTTTGACCTGTTCTTATTTGGACAGGTTACCCTCCATATCTGACCACATCACTGTCATCCTGGGATTTCTTTTTATTTTCATCTTGGTGATTCTGTTTAGTTTGTGGGTTGGAAACCTTTCTTTCTTGGATTTTTGCTTTGTTTTAGTGAAGCACATCTTCTAATAGCTTCCTGAGAAAAAGTACACAAGAAGAAATTTTTTTGAGACCTTGCATGTCTGAAAACATTTTAATTCACTGCTCAAACTTATAGCTTGTCTGTGTACAGAAGTATAGGATGAAAATAATTTTCCTTCAGAATTTTGATTGCTTTACTCCATTGTTGTCTTATTGTTGTTGAGAAGTGCAGTGGTGTTTTGATTCTTGTGCCTTTGCCTAAAACATGTTCTTTATCATGGAATCTATTTTGACTTCAGCATTCTTAAATTTCATAGTACATTTGGCTGTATGTGTGTGTTTTTTTTTTTATTTTTATTTTTTGAGTTGGAGTCTCACTCCGTTGTCCAGGCTGGAGTGTAGTAGTACTTTCACAGCCACCCCAGGGTTGACCTGCTAGGCTCTGGCGATCCTTCCACCTCAGGCTTCCAAGTAGCAGGAGTTACAGGCACGTGGTACTGCACTTGGCTAATTTTTTGATTTATTGTAGAGACGAGGTCTCACCAAGTTGCTTGGGCTGGTCTCAAACCTGTGGGCTCAGGCCACACTCGCCTTGGCTTCCCAAAGTGCTGGGATTACAGGCTGAGCCACTGAGCCTGACCTATATGTACAAACTTGAAGGGCTCTTCTTCTCTGGGAACTCCTCCTATCGTATTCTTCAGTTCAGGGAAATTTTCTTGAATTTTTAGTTTTATCTTCTTACCTCTATTTTCTTTCTTCTTGCTTCATACCTTTGTTTAGATTTTGGACCTCTTAGACTAGTCCTTTAACTCTTACTTTTCTCATCAGTTTTTCATCTCTTTTTTGCTGAATCTTCTGGGAGGTTTCCTCAACTTTATTTTTTAAGTCTTCTGCTTAATTTTTTAAATTTCTTTTACCGTATTTTTACTTCTGAAGGAAGGTCTTTTTGTTTAATAACATCCTATTATTTTATGGCTGTAATAGCATAAAAAATGAGATTTCTTTGAGGATTTTTTTCTTTTTTGGTTTTTTTTTTTTTTTTTTTTTTTTTTAGAGATGAGGTCTCGCCAAGTAGTCCTAGTTGGTCTTGAACCCCTGGACTCAGGCACTCCTCTCACCTCCACCTCCCAAAGTGCTGGGATTGCAGGCATGAGCTACCACACCTGGCCTGAGGATTTTTTTTAGAGTTCTTTTTTTTCTGCCATAGTCTATATCCTCCAAGTTATTTTGTCCAATTTGTTTAGTTCCTATCTTTGTAGTAGAGGCCTTCCTCAAGTGTCAGGTGATTTTGACATTTCAGGGTTCCATTGGAAATTCTTTGTACCTGGTAGGCTTTGTTTACTGTGGACCTTGGGTATGTCTTGTTCTCATTTCCTGTGGGTGATCAGGCTGGGCTGTTCTGTTGAGGAATCCCTGATTGTTAGTATTTTTAGGCCTCATCACATTCAAGAGAAAGTATAACCTGTTGCTGTTCTGGGGTTGGATTGGTGATCTCAACATTCAGTATGTATACTCATTTAAGCTTCCTGTTTTCAATATAGTATCATTGCTCTCAACTGTGCCTTGTATCCTTCATGTAAGAGGCTCTGTTTTTACGTCTTACTAATAGCTTACCCTTTTCTAATGGGTTGAGTAGGGAGGAGTTTGTAGGTGAGAGAGGAGATATGGCATCTGTCTTTGCTTTGAAACAGACTTTCAGCCCTGGCAACATGAGAAACCCATCTCTACAAAAGACAATAAAAAAATTAGCTGGGCATGGAGGCACATGCTTGCAGTCCCAGCTATTTGGGAGGTTGAGGTGGGAGGATCTTTTGAATCTAGACTGAAGTGGACTGTGATTGTGAACTGTGCACTTCAGCATAGGCAACAGACTGAGACCTTATCGCTAAACAAATTTACCAAAAATAAGACCGGGTACATTTGCTCATACCTGTAATTGTAGCACTTTGTGAGGCGGAGGCGAGAGGATTGCCTGAGCCCAGGGTTTTGAGACCAGGGTTTTGGGTAACTTGGTGAGACCTTGTCTCTACAAAAAATTAGCTGGCTGTGGTGGCACACCACCTGTGTTTCCACTTGAAAGGCTGAGGTGGCAGGATTGCCTGAGCCCAGCAGATCAAGTCTACAGTGGCTGTGAGTATGCCATTGTACTCCAGCCTGGGCGACAGAAGGAGACTCCAACTCAAAAATTAAAAAATAAAAATAAAATAATTACTCAAGCAAACAGGTTTTCAAGGGATCCTTCTATTTTTAGATCTACCCTTAATTATATTTTCAGAGGCATCAATTCCTAAGACTTTTAGAGGTAGTATAGAGAAAATTTGATATCTTTGTATTTTTTTCCTCACTGTTGGCTTAGGATTTAGCTTTCTTTGGTCTGTTAAGTCACTTGCTACTTGTACGGGGTGGGAGGGGGCAAAAAAACCCTGGAATTATTTTTTGGAGAGCAGGCCCCTTATAGTACAGGCTTCCTCCACTAGGTGAGTGTTCTAGGAATCCATCGGCCTCAGCGTGCCAGCTATGTGTTGTTGTAAGAGGCTGTGTTCAGCCTCAGTGAATTTTTTTTGGTGTTTCTTTCAGTCCATGTACCCATTTCATGATGGGTGATTTACGATCGCACCTGCCCTCACCGCACTGAGTGTTCAGTAGTTTTTGACCAAAAACAACATGACCCCTGTATCTCATCCTTCCTATTTACCTCACCTCTCCCCATCGACTTTTTTTTGTTTTCCTGATGAAAAAGTCCTCAAAGGGAAATGTTTTGCCTATGTGGAAGATGTGAAACAAAAAATGGCAGAGCTAAAAAGCATAAAAACTTCAAAAACTGTTCTGAACAGTGCAAAAAGCATCTCAATAGATGTATTACATCAAATGAAGAGCACTTCGGAGGTGACTGAAGTTTAAACATGTAAGAATAAATACAGTTTTTAATAAATTCCTTTTTTGGGGGGTCCACCCTTGTACATCTGCTTTCCACAGTTGTTGTTTTTTTTTTTCCCTAGTGGTTTGTGTCTTTTTCTTTCTTTTTAAAAAAGTCTCTTAACTATAGTGTTAGTGTGATTTGAAGAGAGGCTACATAAAGCCTCATCTTTAACCAGAAATCTCAGGTATGAGATTTGCCTCATTGTTCCAGATACTATCCAGAGCTGATTTAATTTCTTCAAAGTTTGAGTTCACTTTTAAAATATTTATTTTGCTTTCCTAGGTGCCGACCTTTACAGTTTCAGCCTTCAAAATCTCAGAAGAAGGTTTTGAAGAAAATGTTGAAATTTCTGGCTAAAGGGGAAATTTCCAAAGGAAATTGTGAGGGTAAGACGAGATTGGGTCTTAAAACTATTTACTTCAAATTGATGTCTGTTTTCAAGGGTGCCACTTTCAGTTATCTTAACTTAGGTAGGGAAGGGGGGTGGTCATTGTTATAATCATGTACTACTGCTAGGATGACAACTGCTGTTAGCACTGCTATTACTGTTAACACTGGCCCCCGAATCAAGGATATAAAGACTGTCTATCAGGAGAGTCTAGCTTTGAAAGAAAATTGAGGATAATTTTACAGATGTGATTTCCTGGAGTTTATTGAAATGTCAGTTTTCAAAATGCTTTGCCAACTCATCTTACTTGATCTTAATAGAAAGTGTCATTATATCTGGAGAAACAGATGCTTACATGTAGCTTATACAAGATTGCACTATGACTTTTAATGCTGAGTAAAGATCAGGTTTTCTGTGTTTAAGTAAGGCTTTCTTTCCTTCAATAAATTATACTGTCTCAATTTATCTTTCTTACTTGTTTGTGAGTGACTTTCCTGAAAAGATTATTGGTAGCATTTATTTGACTTTAGTTACAGATGCTTTTCTTTTTCTTTTTTTAAAAATAGTCTTTATACTGTTTTCGGTATTTTTTTCTTTAAGTTTTCCTGTCATATGTGAGCATTAGGATTGGGAATGTTGTCCATTCTTAGAGATCCTTCTTACTTCTGCCATAGGAAAGGCCTAATCCTGGGAACCTTCCAACCTAGTCTTAGCTTATTTATTCCTTTTACCTGTGTGTTTTGAGTGCCTACAATGTCCCACTCACTGTTTTAAGCACTGTAGATACAGCATGACAGGTAAGTTCTTTACCTTCAGGCACAGCCCTTTAATGGACCAGGTTTCGGGACAACTTGGATTAGCCTTGCAGAGTTGGGAGTAACAGAGAGCACAGAAGCTCTTTGTTAAGCCCAGGAGGCTTTAGTTTTAGAGTTTTGCGGGGAGTTAGAACATCAGAATTTTGATACATCTCTGATCAGTATTGTTGGTACATAATCTTAAAGTTAAATAGATTTTGTTGGCTAGTCACTATGCAAATTTTTTTATGGCCTGAATCATGTTATGAGTTTCAAAAATTAATAGGCAGATTAGTGTTGAAAATACTGTCAATTTGTAGATTGATGGTTGCCTCTCTATTTACATAGCTTTTATGTACATTTGGTTCTTTATTTGACTTGTTATGGGCTTCTGAATTAAAAACTTGTGACAAAGAGACACCAAAATGCAATGACTAAAAAATGATACAAGTCTGTTTCTTTCCTCACATAATAGTCCATTGTGGGTGTTCCAGGTCGACCTGCAGCTCTGCTCCCCCCAGCCATTCTGGTACTTTCTTTAACATGTGATTTCCAAGGTTTCTCTGGTTTTTACTAATCCAGTCACTGGGTAGGAGGAAGGATGGACATCTAGGGTTGCAAATTTCCTTTAAGTGAGGCAAAATTGGATATATCAGTTGTACGATATTCTATTGGTGGTAGATTGGTCACCACATGCAAAGGGACTGGCAGTGCATTCTTCTGTTAGGGTGCCACAGTCTTAGGTACAGCTTTTTTACTTTGGAAGATGGAAGAATGGATTTGGTGAACAGACAGTGGTTCCTGCTACAGTGGGTAATGGGCACATATTCCTGTGTTTATCTTAACTATGTCAAATGACCCAGTTGATGGACTGTAATTTCTTCTGATTTGTAGATGAGCCCATGGATTCCACAATGGATGCTGCTGTGGCAGGTGACTTTGCATTAATAAATAAGTTGGACATACAGTGTGATCTTAAAATGCTCAGTGATGACCTCAAAGAAAGCATGGAGAGCGAAGAGAAGAAAGGAAAAAACTCCAAGAAGAAAGAATCTAATGATTTAATGCAGTCACAAGCTATAGAAGAGAAGCTGGGCTCTGGTGAACCATCACATTCAGTTAAAGTTCACACAGTTCCTAAACCAGGTAGTGAACATTTGATACCAAGTCATATTTACTGCTTTTCTTTTTGCTTGAGTTATTTTAAATCCTAACCCTTTCCATCAGCCAAAAAGATTAATTACCCATGAAACCTGTAAAACACAATCCTGTTGTATACAACTTATGGGGACTTGAATTTAGATGAACAAATTATGTCTAAAACTGTTATGCTTAAAAAGTGTGAAATCATAACCTTTTTCCTAAATACAGACATTTAAAAAAAAGTCTTATTTCTTCTTACTACTTTGGGGCCTTAATGGTTTGAGAATCAAATTTTTGTTAGTGGAAAGGTGTAGTGATAAACATTCTTACTAGCAAAGTGAGAACGCAAATTATAGTTATGATGTTCAGAATATAGACATTGTAAAATTCCTTAGTTTAGCATTACATTTTAAAAATGTAATTGTAATAAATTTATTTTAGAATGTTCAGATTTTGCCTTTATAAGGTAAGTTTTTTTTTCCTGTATTTTCACTTACAAAAGAATTAAGCTTACAAAACTTATCCAGCATTAAATGGGTTTAATGTGTGTGTATGAACTCTCTCAAAATTATTTTATAAGCTGGGTGTGATGACTCACACCTGTAATCCTAGCACTTTGGGAGGCTGAGGCAAGAGGATTGCCTGAGCCCAGGGGTTCAAGACCAGCCTGGGCAACTTTGCAAGACCTTGTCTCTACAAGAAATAAAAAAAATTAGCCAGGTGTGGTGGCACACGCCTATAGTGCCTACTGCTTGGAAGGCTGAGGTAGAAGGATTGCCTGAGCCCAGCAGGTCGAGGCTTCAGTGGCCATGAGTGTGCCACTGCACTCTAGCCTGGGTGACAGAATGAGACTCTGACTCAAAAAAAAAAAAAATTATTTTATGAAATGTGAAGTTGGATGGATATTATTAGATGACTTCAGTTCTTGAATTAGTTCTTATATTTATCTATATCAAATGATTCAAGGGAGAAATTTTTAGTACTGTTTTAGATTTTTTTTTTTTTTTGTCTAGGTTATGTTATACATGTTAAAAGCACAGAAAACCTTCCTTTTGCAATTTTATTGGATAATTTTTATGTAAGACTTTCATGGTATTTAAATGGATGTTGGTCTGAAGTTTCATCCTAATTAATAATAATGTCCCAGTAAAATATTTTATTTTTACTTATTTTATTTTACTTTTGAAACAAGGTCTCATTCTGTCGCTCATGCTGGAGTGCAGTGGTGCAGTCATAGCTCAATGTAACCTTGAACTCCTAGGCTCAAGCAAATCTCCCACTTCATCCTCCTGAGTAGCTGGAAACTGGGACTACACCCAGATATCTTCAAAATTTTTTGTTGAGATGGGTTTCACTTTGTTGCCCAGGCTGGTCTTGAACTCTTGGCTTCCTGTGATCCTCCCACCTCAGCCTCCCAAAGTACTGGGATTATACGTACAAGTCACCATGTCTGGCCCCCAATAGAATGTTTTGAATGATTTAGACAATTTATTTTAATTCTTGCTCTCTTGGGTGATAGGGTCAGTTCTTTTATTATTTTATTTTTTATTTAAAAAGTTACTTATAGTTTGTCACAAAAAAAAAAAAACCTGTATTATGGAGTATTTCAAACATAAGTGTAGATTGAATAATATAATGAACTTTACCCTCATCTCAAACAACTATTGTCTCATGATAGTCGCTCTTCTTTTATGTATACCTGTATATAGTTCCCCCTTTCAATATTATATTGAAGCAAACCCAGATATTACTCTATTCTTGTATTTCAGAATACGTCTCTAAAAGTTGCACCTAAATAAAATTTCTTAATGCCATTGAGTATTCAGTGTTCAAATTCCAATTTTTAAACATTTGTTTCTGTCAGTAGCTAATGTCCACATATTGCAGTTTGTTGATTGATACATTTCTAAAACCTCTTGATCTAGAGGCGTTCCTCTTTCATCCCCCCCTTTTTTTTTTACTTGCTGTTTATTTGTTAAAGAAACGGGATTGTTTGTCTTGGGTTGTTTTTTCCACTGTCTGTATCTGACTGGTTACATCTGCAATGCAGTGTAACTTGTTCTTCTGCCCACTTGTAAATTGATAGTTGGATCTAGATATTTGATTAGATGCTGGGCTAAATTTTCTTTTTTGTTTGTTTTTTTGAAAATCTTAATCAGATTTGGGTTTGAATTATTATTATTTTTTTTTTTTTGAGTTGGAGTCTCGCTCTGTTGCCCAGACTGGAGTGCAGTGGCCGTTCCCGGCCACCGCAGCCTCGCCTGCTGGGCTCCAGCGATCCTTCCACCTCAGCCTTCCGAGTAGCCGGAATTACAGGCATGCACTACCATGCCCGGCTGATTTTTGATTTATTGTAGAGATGAGGTCTCGCTGCCCAGGCGGGTCTCGAACCCGCGGGCTCAGGCAATCCACTCACCTCAGCCTCCCAAAGGCGCGGGATTACAGGCTGAGCCACCGAGCCCGGCCAGAATTATTTTTTTGAGGATTGACAGGGTCACTTCACGAGTGGTCTTTCAGAAGATATATAATGTCTGCATGTCTCTCTTTTTGTTAGTGCTAATAGTCATAGGTGTTCAATATCTAAATCCATCCATTTATTAAATATTCTTTCATTCACTCTTCATTTACTGACTAGAATGCTTCCATATGGAGAAACTTCCCTTTGTCTATTTGTTTCTCATAAAAACTCATAGTAAAGGCAGGATAAATTCTTGATTCTTTTTGTTTACCATTTTTCACAATAGCATGTTCTAACAGTGACCAGTTTGTTTTCCTTTTGGTATCATTGTAAACTCATGAATCTAAACATATTTTCTGTGTTGTAACATATTGTTTCTGTGAGAGCGTCTTTACATTGGCTTCTGAGTCCTTTTGACACTCTCCTAGTAGTCTTTGACAGCGTCTTTGCTATCTGATGTGACATTATGGTTCTGGATTATCAGATGTTTTTTCAAGCGGTTCTGGTTGGTTTTAGCAGGAAAATGATATTTGGAGATCACAAACTAGACTAGCAGTATACATTATTGCGCCACTGACTTAGTCATTATTTTCTAGGCCTTTTTCATTGAACAGACTGATACTGATACTTTCAATTCAAATCAGGACTGTAGCATTTTTATCTTTTCTCTCTTTTTTTGGTTTTATATTTGTATTTTCTTTCTTCTGCATTAAGAAACCTACTTCTCAAGAACATTGAGGATAGTAGAATTAGATTAGAATATCACACATCCGTTTACTTTTCCTCACATTATGCAACAGTTATATTTTTCATTTTTGTTTTAACTTGTGAATATACACAGTGGTTTTATACATAATTTTGCCTCCAGCAGTGTGATTACGGAAACATTAACAACTTTTATTGCAGTTTGTTTTCCCCTTAGGATGCCTTTCATTAAGAATCTGAGACTATTTAAAAATCTTTGGATTTTCTCTAGAATCCTAATTTCCATTTTATTTAAAACAATATTATAAGTATATTCCCTTAGAATTAATTAGAAATTATGCAGGTCTGTTAAACTCTATTCAGATCATTTGGACTACTCTGGAATTCTTGAGTTGCTTTGAACTTCTGTGGATGCAGGATTGATGTGGTGTACTGATTTTGCAGTGATGACCTGTTTCTATTCTGTGGAAGGAATTTATTGATTTAGGAGATCTTTATCTTCTAAATACGCTGAAATTGTAATTTGCTGTTCATTGTAGTTAGCAATGTGGTAGCATATAAATGTAGAGAAAAACAGTCATGGGCTGGGCATGGTGGCTCACGCCTATAATCCCAGCATTTTGGGAGACCAAGGCAAGAAGATCACTTAAGCCCAGGAGTTCGAGACCAGCCTGGGCAACATAATGAGATGCTGTCTGAAAAATGTAAAATAAAATTTAAAAATATTCAGAAGGCTAAAATTTAAAAAAAAATCATGATAAGAATTGCTTAGTTCAATGACTTAGTGTAAAAAAATGACGCAGGTAATCTTTCATAGAAATACTGAGAATTGGTGTTTCTCAGTTTGCTCTATATAGTTTTATTGTTTGTTCATAATTTTAAAACTTTGGTTCAGAATGTAGTTTTCAGAATAGAAAGTAGGGAGTTTTAAAAAGTTACTATATATGGAATGCCTATGTAGGTAAAATATTATTTTAAGTGTTAGTGTTACAAATAATAGCTAATAATAATAAGTACCCTTAACTGAATGGTAGATACTTTTGTATGAGTTCCACTTACATTGACTCATTTAATCCTCACAGGAACTCTATATGTAGGACTGATTTTGCCTTTCTTGTACGGAGAATGAAGCTTGCCCAAGGTTATCTAACCAGTGACTGAGCTGGTTCATGCCTTAGGCAGTTTGTGTCACTGTATGTGCTTTGAACTGTTGTGTCTCAGAGCAAATTTGAAAAAAGGCACAGAGCTTGGCCTAAGAAAATTAATTCTGTTAGGCAATGGAGTCAATTATAGATTGAGTCTTTTGTTACCTGGTTGTTAGACTTATTGAAAGTCTTTTCTTTCTTTTTTTTTCCTCTGAACTGGGGTCTCTCTGTCACGCAGGCTGGAGAGGGTGGAACGAACATGGCTCACCACAGCAGCCTCGATCTCTTGTGCTTAGGTGATCCGTCTACCTCAGCCTCCCAAGTAGTGGGGACTAAAGGCATGGGCCACTGTGCCACCATGCCCAACTTAGTTTTTTGATTGTTTTGTATAGACGAAGTCTTCCTATGTTGCCTAGACTGATCTTGAACTCCTAGGCTCAAGCAGTCTTCCTGCCGGGGGCCTCCCAAAGTGCTGGATTACAGATGTGAGCCTTTGTATCCAGCCTAAAGTTTTTTTTTTAATAGGTAAACTTTATTTTTAGTTAGTTAATGAAGTTGTGGTATTATCTGTTTGGAGCTGTTTTATCAGATTTGTTTCTTTTGATCAACTTCTAGTCTTGCAAATCCTTTAACCACTTTAGATCTTAATTTTCTTCTCTCTAAAAGTTGAATTTACTTGTCTTATAAACCTTGCTTCTGACTTTTATATGACTTGTGAATACTATGTTTCAGGATCTTAAAATCAATAGCTTATTTCTTTACTTCATTAATAGCTTTTTAAAAAATTTACTGAAGTAATGTTTGTTGTTAAGAAATTTGGAGAAAAGAGAAAACTACAAAGAAAAAAAGTAAAGAAAAAGACTTTTTCTACTTCTAAAACTGAGTAAAAGGACTGTTAACATGGTGTTTTATTTCTTTCCAGACTTTTAAAAAAAAATTATTTGGTTAATTAATTAATTAGAGTTGGAATTTCACTCTGTTACCCAAGCTGGAGTGCCACTGCAGCCTCAACCTGCTGGGCTCAGGAGATCCTTTTGCCTCCGCCTTCCAAGTAGCTGGAACCACAGGCAAGCACCACCACGCCTGGCTAATTTTTCAGTTTATTGTAGAGATAGCATCTCACCAAGTTGCCCAGGCTGGTCTTGAACTCCTGGGTTCAGGCAATCCTCTTGCCTCTGCCTCCCAAAGTGCTGGGATTACAGACATGAGTCACCACACCTGGCTCTAAATATTTTAAATATATATATTTATGTACAAATAAAGTAGAAAATTCTTTTTAAAATTGTATAGTGAGAAATCCCCTAAAATTGCTAGAACATTAAAAATGACTATGATTTGTTGTTTAACTGTTCTAAAAATTGTGTGATTATTTTATAATTAGATATTTAGATTATTTTGAGGCTTTTGTTTATTTTATCATTATTTACCTTTATCTCATGCTTTTGTTTGGGATAGATTATTTTGAAGATAACTTGCTAACATTTGTAATTTATAATAGTTGAAACTTTTTTATGTTAAAGAGCTATTAGTTTGATATTTGGTATTTTAATTAGAACAAAATTCTGTTTAACTGAACTAATAAGACCCAGATACCTGCTCTATTTGGAGAGACACAGATATATACAACTAAGTGAGGCTTTTTTTTTCCCTCACTCCATCGCCCAGGCTGGAGTGCAGTGGCACACACATGGCCACCTCAGCATCGACCTGTGGGTTCAGGTGTTCCTTCCGCCTCTGCCTTCCAAGTAGCTGGAGCAACAGATGTGCGCTACTGCATCCGGCTAATTTTTGATTTATTGTAGAGATGAGCTCTCTCCAGGTTGCCCTGGCTGGGCTCGAACCTGCGGGCTCAGGCACTGCACTCACCTTGGCCTCCCAAAGTGCTGGGATTATAGGCTGAGCCACCAAGCCCGGCCGGCTTTTTGTGTGTGTGTGTGTGTGAGGCTTTTTAAATTTAAAAAACTTGCCAGAGTTCACTTATATTTGCTTCCTAAGTATTTATGTCACCATTGCTTTTGGAGAATGTCCCTCAGAAATGTTGGCCAGAGGTAGCAGTGTCCTTTAAAGCAGAAGGTAATTTGATTGTATTATGTTCTTCCCAGTTAAAAAAAGTAGAGAAGTGGATGGATGTTTTTTAAAAAAGATTTTCAATAAGAGCTGCATTGGAAAGTTTCTGTGACTATTTACTTTCTTTGGCATCTCTTGCTTCTGAGGTAGGGTTTTAAGATCAACTTACAGCTTATACCTGGATCCTCTGAGCCATCTACCCCAAAGCCAGTCTAACTGTTGGAACTCTTTGGACTTATTCTATAGAAGAACTCTTTGGAATTTACTCTGTAGAATCTTTGAGAGTTTTGTAAAAATATTTCTAGAGTCAAATGTGATTGGTCTAATATTTTGAAATTCTTTTTAGGCCAAGGGGCTGATTTGAGTAAGCCTCCATGTCGAAAAGCAAAGGAGATCCGGAAAGAAAGGAAAAGGTTAAAACTAATGCAGCAAAACCCTACTGGAGAACTTGAGGGTTTCCAGGCTGAAGGTCAGCCACCATCTTTGTTCCAACCAAAGGCTAAATCCAACCAGCCCAAATCACTTGAAGATTTGATTTTTGAATCTTTACCAGAGAATGCATCACACAAGTTAGAGGTACTTTGGAGGGTTTTTGTTCTGTTTCTATTGTTTGTTTGTTTTATTTTTGTTGGGCATCTTGCTTATTTTCATTTTCATTTGAGGTCATGCTAATCAGTTGATGTTTTTCCAGTTAAATAATAAGATAGTAAAGAGAACTGTATTTACTAAGTTAACTGCTATTTGAAAGCAATCCTATTTTTAAGAGATTTTTTGGAGACTACTTTAGGCAATTGATTACTAAAGTTATGAAAACAGTTTCACTTTTTGCATGTTCTTTTATGCAGGGTGCTCTGGTTTTTTGTATCTTTTGGTTGACATTTAGTAAAAGTGAAAAAGAAAAATATTCTCTAAGGTAGAATTTTTGGCAGTTTTGGTTTACATAGTAAAAGAGAATAGATTACACTAGACAAATCAATTTTTTTATTCATTACAGTATTCTGATCAAGGCAGTGAGCGGTGTTACATAGGTAAGACGAGTTAGAAATTATCTAAACAAGCCGGGCTTGGTGGCTCAGCCTGTAATCCCGCGCCTTTGGGAGGCTGAGGGAGTGGATTGCCTGAGCCCACGGGTTCGAGACCCGCCTGGGGAGCGAGACCTCATCTGTACAATAAATCAAAAAATCAGCCGGGCGTGGTAGCGCATGCCTGTAATTCTGGCTACTTGGAAGGCTGAGGCAGAAGGATCGCCGGAGCCCAGCAGGCGAGGTGGCCGGGAGCGGCCACTGCACTCCAGTCTGGGCGACCGAGTGAGACTCCAACTCAAAAAAAAAAAAGAAAGAAACTATCTAAACAGTGCTAAATTGTACGATTAAAATCTTCTTTCCTTAATGCCCAAACCAATTTGGGGATAATCTGAATATTTCTAGAGCCAAATTTCTTATTTTTTCCAAATTTATTTACATTAGTAGATCAAATCAATATTTCTCAATGTTAGTTTATTATATATAAAATTCTTTTCTATGACATTAGCCATAATGATTTTTCTCATGTTCTTACAGTTAGTAACTGGCCAGCCTTTTAATTTATAGCTTACCATCATCTAAGAATATCACTTATCACTAAAGTCTTAATACTAAAAATTAACTTTGATGCATTCTAAGCTTTAGGACAATATATGTATTATGAGACATAATTTTTAACTTTTTTAACTCTTTGGCTGCTCAGATTTCAATACTGATACTTCTCCTTCCAAAATTGTAAAGAGAGTTGTACACACTACTTAAAATACTTTATGAAGAGTTTTCTATCTTTTGATCATAAATAGAGAGCCAGACACACCTCACGTTACAATTCTGCAGTAGTCAATGTTACTTTTTGAATGTAACGATGCCCAGGATGTGTAGAGATTTGTCATCCACTGGGTGTCGCTCTTTCTTCACAGTAGAATTACTCTCATAGTAAACATGAATAGTTTCCGGTCATGTTTTTTTGTTTGTTTGGTTTTTTTTTGAGTTGAAGTCTCACTCGGTTGCCCAGACTGGAGTGCAGTGGCCGCTCCCGGCCACCAAAGCCTCGACCTGCTGGGCTCCAGCGATCCTTCCGCCTCAGCCTTCCGAGTAGCCGGAATTACCGGTGCGCGCTACCACGCCCAGTTGATTTTTTTTTATTGTAGAGATGAGGTCTCGCTGCCCAGGCGGGTCTCGAACCCGCGGGCTCTGGCAATCTACTCACCTCAGCCTCCCAAAGGCACGGGATTACAGGCTGAGCCACCGAGCCCGGCTTCCAGTCATGTTTTTATTGTATTGCATTTGAGTTTTTGTTTTACTGATGTTTTGCTAACATAGTTTAGTTAGTTAAATAATAATGTTAAAATAATGTTAGCAAATTAATGTTAAAATAAACGCCAGCATTGCTGTGTGTAATTACTGCTTTAAACTTATCCTCATGTTGTTACATATGAGGGAACTTAGGCACAGCGGTTAATTTACTTGACCAAGATGGTGATATTATAAGATTTGAACAAAGGAAACCTGACTTCAGAGTCATAGTTGATAACTGTATTATGAAATAGGAATACTTTGTGAAGGTTGTCTTTATACTTACACAATAAAGTTGTAAGTTTAGGATTATCAGTGATGAATGAGTGTCTAAAAAATATATTCCTTTTTTTAGTCTTTCTGACTTCCTGACGGTGAGTTGTATACAACTAAAACTAAAGAGTATTTGTTTGTGTTTGTGTTATGAGTGCTAGAAATGTTCTGCCAGTTTACAGTAAGGGCGGGCTTACAAAATTCAGGCAAGAGAGCTGAGACTTAGAATTTAGAAGGAATCCACCTCTGCCTTCTAAATGAGTCTCTAAGTTACAGAAATAAATTTTTTTCTTTATTTACTAACTCATTGGTTTTTGATATTAAAAGATTATGTATAGATGCTTTAATATTTGTGTTGGAACTTTGTTTTGGGGGGTGAGAATTACTGTTAATATGTATTTCACAGAATGAATAAATGAATTAATGAACTTTTTTTTTTTAACTCCTACTGAAGGTGAGGGTGGTGAGGTCATCTCCACCAAGTTCTCAGTTCAAAGCCACATTTCTGGAGTCTTACCAGGTCTATAAACGTTACCAGATGGTTATTCACAAGCAACCACCTGATAAGCCAACTGTGAGCCAGGTCAGCAGGCCAAGTGTACTATTTTTGTGCAGAGCGTTCCCTTCCATTTGATATCTTTGTATGAAATCTTGGTTTATTTGTGCTACATTTTATTTATATCCAGTTTGCAGCATATCTGCAAAGAGTTGGGACCGAATTAATGGACATTCTGAAAGTGCGAATTCTACCTAGTGTCATGTTAAGTGCCAGTCTTGTATAATTTCAGAGCATAAAGTAATATAAAATTATTTAAAGTCACAATGTTAGATGCATTTACCTAAAAGATAACTATAAATAGAACTCTAAATTAAAATATCTAAGAGGAAAAAGCAAATACTTCCAATTTTTATGATAGATATAATTTGCCCGACACTATAAAATATTTTATATTTAAAAGTCGTATGTAGAAAGAATTCATAATAGGTAAATTATTCTTTGTTAATGTATTACCCATGCACATCTGAGAGGGACTAGAAAAGTATGATAGAATGTTTTAATAGAAGTTCTTATATGCTAATAATTTTATAGATCAAATGACCCCAAAAAAATCTGGAAGGGAAGAGAGCTTAAAACAATATAAGTAGAGGTGGCAAAAGTAGTGGCCATGACCACAGTTAGCAACAATATTGCTCTAGTGCTTGCAGTGAACTATAATAGATGGATAGAGAAAAAGCCAAAAAGAGACAAAAACAGATTGCCCTGGCTTTTATGAGTTTGAAATTTTCATAAGTTTTAGTACAGAGTTAGCGCTTCAGGCTCTGCGCCAGTCAGCCCGTTCCAGGGTTTCTTCTTTTCATGACAAATTCCAGTGCTGAGCTTTGAAGTGGGTTTGTGGAGATCTTACTCTAGCCTCACCTTCAGAAGCATGTAACCAGTTAGCGGTGTTTCAATAGCCTTTGCTTGTCTTTTCCTTGCTCTGAAGGTGAGGTTAGTACCTGTCTCCTTTGAGGACCCTGAGTTCAAGTCGTCCTTCATCCCGTCCTTTGCTTTGTATGTCAAGTATCAAATGGCCATACACCAGGATCCACCTGATGAGTGTGGGAAGACCGAGGTACCGCTCGTTGAGTGTTCTTTCTGTGTTGACTAGGTTGTCTGTGAAGAAGCATATAACCTTCTTATGCCGTTTTCTTTACCTGTCAGGTAGTGCCGATGAGCTTTCAGTGTGTGTCACCGGACTTTTGTGGAAATGAGTCAAACGTGTTATCCTTTTAAATTCTTAGGAAAAAGCATCGTTGAGTCCAGGATGCCTTTTTTGCTTGTTTTTTGAGTCAGGGTCTCACTCTCTTGCCCTGGCTGGAGTGCAGTGGCCTGATCATGGCTCACCACATCCTCTGCCTCCTGGGCTCAAGCGATCCTTCTGCCTCAGCCCCCCTGAGTAGCTGGAACTACAGGTGTGCGCTACCACACCTGGCTAGTTTTTTAGAATTTCTTTTTTGTGAAGACACGGTCTCACTTATACCTAGGCTGGTCTCCGATAAGCCTCCCACCTCCCCCTCCCAGAGTGCTGGGTTTATAGGCATGAGCCACTGCGCCCCGCCAGGAGGTGCTCTTTATTCGATGTTCTCTTCAGGAGTCTGAGTGTCGTGTGTTTAGATGTTTAGTCATCCAGCCTAAGTCAGCAGACATTTATTTAGTGCTTATTATATACTGGACTATGTGCCATGGAACAAAGGGAGGAGTCCCTGTCTTCAGTAAATTGTTAATCGAACAGGAAAGACAGACCAATAAGCAAAAATAGCAAGAAGGGAGTGGAAAGTAAATATGTACACCTAATCTACTGCACATCATAGCTCTGCCTAGCTTACCTTAAACATACCCAGAACACTTAAATTAGCCTACAGTTGGGCAATTATCGTCTAACACAAACTCTATTGAATATCTCATGTAATTTACTTAATGCAATACCAAAAGTGAAAGGTAGAATCATTTTGCACCCTTTTAAAGTTCAAAAAGCTTGACTGTTGAACCATTATAAGTCAGGAATCATCTGTATGTTGAGATTACTGTATACAGCATCATTTAACAAGCATTTATTGAGGACTTCTTTTTCTCAGGCTGAGAATACGGAAATGAATGAGATGACGACATAGTTGTCACAGTGGGACAGAAATGTTGAAAAAAAGATGCAAACATATGTAGAATAACTAGGGTTTTGGTTTTCTTGTTCTGCTGCTTTTTAAAAAGTGACACAGAATGTATTAGCTAAAAAGAGAGGATTAACACAGCAGTAGTTAATGCTGCATGTTCCCTGAGAGAGGACAGACTTCCCAGACTCCGCAGAGCTTTCTACTTAAAGTACAGTCTGCAGACCAACAGCATCAGCTTCACCTGGAACACAGAATCTCAGACCTACTGAATCAGAATCTGCATTGTAAACTAGGTCTCCAAGTGATTCATGTGCAGATTTCAGTTTGAGAAACTCTGTGCTGGGATTTCCCATTGGGACATACTGCTGTGGATAATAGCATTTGCAGGTAGTGAGGATTCTGTTGGGCCCAAGACATTCCTTTTGATATTCTCAGGGGGTCTTTTGCTTTTTTGAACTAACTTTCTTCCTGCTGCTTTGGAGATTCTGGCTTTGTACCTGTCTGCTTAGCAGATATGAATAGCTAAGCCAAAATATGCTTGACATGGTTCAGAGTGTTTACTCTGAGACCCTTCCCCTGAGCTCTGTGGGCTTCAGGCCTCTGTGGAGTCCATTTGTGCAGACTTAGTGTGGCACTAAAGACATTCATAGTCTGATTGGGTGGTAGGTAGGTATGCATTTCCCATGCTGTTAGAAGTAGCCATTGGATTAGTAGGGAAAGCCAGGTGACATCTGAACCAAGTCCAAAAAAAGGAGAAGGACATTTTGGGTGACAGGACTAGCATGTGCAGAGGTGTAGACGTTAAAATCCATTTTGAAGGAGTTACTACTTAGGTTAGTATGGCCAGAGTTATAGGGTACACGTTAGAGTGTGATAAGAGAAGAGACTTTTGGAGATTTAGGTAGGAGCTAGATTAAAAAAAAAAAAATTAAATTGCCACATACCCATTGTCTCTCTTCAGCAGTTCTCAGTTCTCAACATGCTGCCATTCTTGTTGTATATATCTCTTTATACTTTTTGTTATTTTTCTGTTTTATTATTTTGTTAGTTTATACCAAATCTCAGGCACTGTATCATTTTTATCTGTAAGTACTTCAATATGTGTCTTTTTTTTTTTTTTCTTTTTGAGTCAGTTTCTCACTCTGTTGCCCAGGCTGGAGTGCAGTGTCACAATCACAGGCTCACTACAGCTTCGACCTCCTAGACTGATATCGTGATCCTCCCACCTCAGCATCTTGAGTAGCTGGGACTGTAGGCGTGGGGCACCATGCCTGGCTCACTTTTTTGATTTTTTTGTAGAGATGAGGTGTCTTGCTATGTTGCCCAAACTGGTCTTAAACTCCAGGACTCAAGCAGTCCTCCCCCTTGGCTTCCCAAAGTGCTGGGATTACAGGCATGAGCCACTGCTCCTGGCCTAGCATGTGCCTTATTGCACTAAAAAAAGTGTGACAATCAGATATGTGCCTTCTAATGTAGTCTAATAAGAAGTATAAAGCACCACCTTTGCTAAAATACATTGAACCTGAGTCTATACAGGCTTATAGATCTAATTACAGTATAGGAAATATGAAGGGTAAAAGAATATGTTAGAGTAATACCTGGGCAGTGCTATAAGATAAATCACCTAGTTTCTTTAAATAAATAAACACTATTTTTTTTAAAAAGGGAAATCTGTTCTAGATTAAAAGTTATACACATTTAAGAAATATACAAGGAGGACCCAAAAAAACCCCTGAATTATTTTTTGGAGTGTGGGCCCCTTACACACAGGCTTCCCCTGCTAGGTAATTGTTCTAGGAATCCATTGGCACCAGGTAGTGTTGCTGTGAGAGGCTGTGTTCAGTTTTAGTGAATTTCTTTTGGAGATTCTTTCAGCGCAGATTTGCCCATCTCATGATGAGTGATTTATGAGCATAACTACCCACACCACACTGAGCATTCAGCAGTTTTTGCCCACAAATGGCATGACCTCTGTGCCCCCTCTCCCTATTCACCAGATCTTGCCCCGAGCAACTTATTTTTGGGTTCCCCTGATGAAAAAAAGCCCTCAAAGGGCAATGTTTTACGTATGTGGAAAAGGGGAAACAAAAAACGGCAGAAGCACTAAAGCATCAACATTGACGAGTTCAGAAACTGTTTTTAACAGCAAATAAAATGATAAAGCGTCGTGATAGGTGTATTGCATCAAACAGAGAGTACTGTGAAGGTGAATGATGTTTAAACATGTAAGAATAAATACACAGTTTTTTAGAAATAAATCCCAGGTTTTTTGGGTCACCCCTTGTATAACTTCAATACCATTATTACACCCAGCAGAATGCACAGTAATTATATTATCTAATGTTCAATATGTGTTTGATTTTCTCTGATTGTCTCAAATGTCTTTTTTACACTTTGTTTGAATCAGTCTCCACATAAGGTCACATTTCATTAATAATCACATTTCATTACCATTCTCTTAAGTATCTATTGATCTGTTAGTTTAGAACAAATTTCCCTGTTTTTAAAATTGCATTTTCTTTAAGAAACTGGTCATTTACCTTAGCATTTAATCTTGTTTCTTTCTATTGATTTGAAAATGTAAGCCAGTATTTCATATATGTAGTATTGGTGGGTGTTTTTATATGTGTGATCTTTCTCTCTATATAGGAGTGTGTGTGTGTGTGTGTGTGTGTGTGTGTGTGTGTGTGTGTATGCATTTGTTATGCATATTTATTATACATACCGTAATACACATACAGATACACACTTGCTCCTTTTTCTTATAGAGGTAGCATACTAGGCATGATCTTTCATATTTATTTTTTATGTCCTAGGGGTCACTCCAAAGCAGTAAGTATATGGAGAGAACTTCATTGTTCTGTTTTACAGCTAGCTGCATAGTACTCCTCATGGAAGAACCATAGTTTTTTTTGAGTTGGTGTCTCACTCTGTCGCTCATACTGGGGTGTAGTGGCACACTCCAGCCACCACAACCTCTACCTGCTGGGTTTCGGCAATACTTCTGCCTCAGCCTTTCGAGTAGCCAGAGCTACAGGTGCGTGCTACCATGCCCGGTTAATTTTTTTATTGTAGAGGCGAGGTCTCACCAAGTTGCCCGGGTGGGTCTCGAACCCGCAGGCTCAGGCAATCCACTTGCCTCGGCCTCCCAAAGTGCTGGGATTACAGTCTGAGTCACCGAGCCCGGTCCCATAGTTTTTTTTAACCAGACTTTACTGATAGCCGTTTGGCTGTTTCTAGATAGCATTGAGTGAGTGCCCTTACAATCAGTGTGTCTTTGTTACAGGTTTTCAGATTGCTGAGTCAGGGGTAAATTCCTCTCCAAAGGGTTTTCTCTTCATGGGGGTTTTACCATTTTGCATTACAGCCAGCAATCTGTGAGAATGCTTATTCCTCCATGGTTTCGGTCATATTTTGTAAGAATTTTGGATTTTTTTCATATAGATGAAAACGTAATTTGTGTGGTTTCAATTTTTATTCCATGTCTTATAAATGAAGTTAAGCATATTTTTTATGTTTAAAGGCCAGTTACGTTTTTCTTTTTTTTTAAAGTTTTTTATTGAGCCAGGGTCTCATTCTATCTGAGGCTGGAGTGCAGTGGCATTATCACGGCTCACCACAGCCTCAGCCTCCTGGACCCAGGTTATCCTTCCACTTCAGCTTCCTACGTAGATGGAACTAAAGTACATGTCACCTTGTCTGGCTAGTTTTTTGAATTTTTTGTAGAGATGAGGTCTCACTGTGTTGCCCAGTCTGGTCTTGAACTCCTGGGCTCAAGATTCTTCCTGCCTGGGATTACAGGCATGAACTATGGCATCTGGCCTGAGATTCCATAAAGTTTGTTCCTATTATTGTTTGTTTAATCCAGAGGGAGAACAATCTCCTTTTTAATCGTTTAATCCATTCACATTGATTGTTATTATTGGTATAGTTGAATTTACACCTTCCGTTTTACTTCCACTTC